ATTAGCCTTCTAAAACTGGGGGGGGCGTCTTAAACAGGGAAGCTAAGTTTCTGCCCAGATTAATAGCAGTGGCATTTCTATTCAGGCAGTTGAGGGAATCAATTGACTTCATGGTTTATTATAATGGACTTGATTTGTGCTAATTGTTCTTCACCCAACAGGTGTTAATAACCCACTCTCCTTGTTAATAGTCTTGATCTGCTAATCAAACTATCCTTTCTTTGGCAGTTTTGCTGAAGAATTTGCAATTTAGCTACTCCTTATCTTGTTTCTCCTACTTCACAGTCCGACGAATTGCATTTAACTCTTTCCAAAATCCTAGAATTGCCCATGGAATCCTGTCTTAAGCAGCAGATATAGTCTCAGCTTTTGGCTAAGCAGCCAAGAGCTGCTGACAGTTCAGCTCTGAAAAGGTTAAACTAGCTTTTGCCCAAGCAAGAGTGGGAGGATGAACAAGCTGAAGTTCAGGCTCTGCCCCTGTTCTGTGAGGCCATAACTGGAAAAATCATTTCTTCTTCATTCTGCCTTCCCCAAAGCAAGGCATGTGATATATTTGGGGCACATGGTATGTGAGAAAATATGGTAATTTATTTACACTTCCAAAAGGCCTCTGAAAAGGACCCCCCAAGCAGTCCTGAGTAAGAGTCGCAGTACTGTCATGGAGCAAAAATTGGCTGGAGACAGAAAGCGAAGAATAGAATTAGCTTTTCATCCTGGCAGAAGATGAACAATGGGGGCTCAGGGTCCCACGGTAGATCCCAGGTGGTTGAATGTTGTTTGCTAGTGACTTGGGAAGGGGAAGGAGATGTGAAGTAGCAAAATTTGCCACGGACACAGGATTCTTTAGTCAGGACAAGAGAACAAGGTGAGGAACTCTAGAGAGACCTTAGCAGGCAAGAGGAATGAGTAAGAAGAAGGCAAATGGAAGCTGCTGTCAACCAATGCCAAGTAACACAAACTGGAAGGGGGCATTTAAACTGCTTGTAGACTATACAGTAGTGTCTGTGTGAAAAAAGGATCAAATATCATTGCAGATATCTCAGTTCAAGGTGCTCCTGCGGTCACACACTGCTAGGATGCCTAAGGAGTGAGTGCGTTGACAGTAATACAAAAAGATGGGCACTGGGAAAGGAAAGGGGGCGAGAAGGTGTCAGGCAATTAGAAACAGCAATGGGATAAAGGTTATTTTATGCCAAATTTTGAGTCAACTTGGTCTTCAGAAGGTAGATGGCTGAATTGACATGCATCAGTCACAAGTGGACAGAACTTCTCTGTGTTCTCTGCTGTGATTGGCTGAACGCTCCCACCTCATAAGTGTCCCACACTCCCTTTAGCCTTCCCAGGGATTCACCCTATGCCCAGGAGAGAACATGCCATTTCTTTCATTCCTGCAGGGAGTGCTGAGAGATGAAGGCTCCTTCCTCTCAGGTGCCTTCCCTTTACATGTGCTTCCTCTTCCTCTATAGTGGGTGCATTGATTCCTGTGAGACCAAGCCAGAGTTGAATTAGGAAAGAGCTTCCAGAAGGTTTGCCTAGATGGTCTGTCCCCCTTTCATTACTGTTTCTTAGGTAGACTGTCTTGCCTAGTAGCATAACGTGTGGATGGCAACTGGGACACCAGCTATAGGCTCTCACTCAGGAAAGGAGGGTGCATGAATGATGTAGGACTCTCAGGAGAAAGCAGGGTAGATTTGCACCATGTAGACTAAACTAGAGATGCATAAGCTTTCGTTCGCAGCAACTGACTTCTTAGAAAGCAGTGATTACAATACACAGGGTAGGGAAGGGGGAAGAAAACCAAGGGGATACTGCTGGGAGAGGCAAGGTGTGTCAAAGAGAGAAAAGCAAAGCAGTTAACCCACTGAGGGATATAAAAGCTAGCCCAGACAAAGGGATAAGAATCCATAGTCTTGGTTTGGAACACACTTAACACATCCAGTCTGTGGCTGATTTCTTGTTCCACAGTTTCCCATTCAAACTGGTTTTAAAGTGTTGCTGCATAAGACTGGCTACTCTGAGGTCAGCAATGGAGTGTCCAGGGAAGCTGAAGTGTTTTGCCACAGGCTTGTCTTTTGGGAATTGTTAGATGGTGTTTGTTCATTTTTACACATAGGGATCATCCCATTTGTCCCATGGAGACAACAGAGGGGCACTGTAAGCAGGTGATGGTGTATATGAAGTTGGTAGAGGAACAGGTGAATGAACCTCATATATTATAATCCGTATTATGTGGTCCAGTGATGATGCTGGTGTCTGTTGATTAAGGGGTACAGCTGGCATCTGACTCCAAAGCAAGGTCTGGTTCCTTGATGAGAATAGGAGTTAGGTAGTCTGTGGCTGAAGAGATGCTATTTGAGGTTGGGGGGCTGTCTGTAAGCCAGGACAGGTTTGACCCCATGTCTACTTTGAATATGATCATAATTTTCCAGGAGGGGTTAGATGTCATTACTGGTGTATCTAAGATGTTCAAATGGGGGCCGTAGATAACAACCAGAGCGATTCTATTGTCTTGGGTTTGGTATTGTAACAGGTTAGAGCAGGGTGCAGGTCTGGTCGTGTTTATTTGAGTGGCTACGTGTTTGGGGTTGTATTGTATTGTATCGTAAGTGTAGACCCTGCTCCAGATCCTTGAACTGTACATTGTGGTCAGTGGGATCAGAGCAGATATAATTGTAATGTACAGCTTGTTGATAGATGATGGATCTAGTGGTGTGCTTAGGATGAGAGCTGCTGGTGTTGAGGTAGCTGTAGCAGTTGGCTTCTGATACAGCATGGTAGTAATGTGGCCACTGTAAAGCTTCACAGTCGTGTCCAAGAACTGAATTTGCTGGGCGTAGTATTGCAGAGTTGGTTTGATGGAAGGGTGGAAGTCCTTAGTCGTGGCAGATATTTCTTATGCATCTGTATGATGATGGTGTCATCAGTGTACCTTAGGCATATTGTGACACCCTGTTGTATAGTAATATCAGGATTGTCTTTAAGGCTGAGTATGGCTCTCCGTTCCACTGGACTGAGGTTGTAACGTAAACATTGGTTTTTGACAATCTCACGTACAGCCTCCCAATATGCCAATATATTTATGACAGACCTTAAAGTCTGCTTTCTCCACAACTGCCTTCTCATCCTCCGGTATACCTAAGGTACACTGATGACACCTGCATGACTTTACAGTTCTTACATGACAAAACTTTAAGAACAAACTTGAACAGGAAATTGCAGAAGAAGAAATGATCCACAGTCTGGATTGTGTTATGTATGGTTTAAACCAAGACCATGGATTTCTGTCCCATTGCCTGGATGAGTTTTTATAACCTCTATGTCTCTCAATAGGTTAGCTGCTTTTTTTTCTGTCTCCGTCCCACCTTGCCTCTCCCATCCTTTGTATTCTAATTGCCGCTTTCTTTTGAAGCTCTGCTGCCGGCAGCCCCTTCACAGCATCTAATGAAGAAACCCTCCACTTACAAAAGCTTATGCAGCTCTGATTTAGTTAAACTATAAGGAGAAATCTATGCTGCCTTCTGCCTGACTTCAGACTAACATGGCTAACTGCCTCTCTCTGCTGATGAACTGTAGGGAGTCACCCGTGTTGTTAGCGTGGATTCTGTCACTGTTGTTATCTGACTCCATTAGGGTTGTTCAGGGATTAGGTGTTACTGGTCACATTAGGCTGCCTCACTTTGGATAATCTCTGCATGTGCTGTCAGGATACTCTCTGTGATGCTGTGCCCCTAACAATCTCATTATTACAAGAAAGAGACTTCAGGCTTTGGCTTTTAGTGACAAAGAAGGGTGGCAAGGTTTACTGTATACAAATCAACCTAAACACTAACATCCATGGCCAGCCAATCCGTCATGCTAGCTGGATGTTTGTAGGCATGGCATGGGTGTGAACATAACTAGGGTGACCACATGTCCTGGTTTGGCCTGGATAGTCCTGGATTTCAGAGGCTGGTCCTGGCTGGCCTGTGAAAATGGCCATTAAAATGAGTGTCCCAGGCGCTGGGTGGGGAGGCAGAGGAGTGGCAGGAGCTGTGAAATAGAAAGTCCTAGCAGACACAAAAATTGCCCTAAAATAGGTTGACTTGATTAGTGGAAAGACCATTAAAAAGAGGAGATGATCACATCTTTGAAGTAAAGAGCAATGGGTCATTAATGGACCATTAACTGCCTTACCTGCCCAAGTAGTATAATACCAGAGCTGCAGAATGCCTCCCGCTCCTGTCTCTGCCTGCAGCAGCACTGCTGATTTGAGTTGGGGGGGAAAGGTAGTGTCCCAGATTTCACATTATCCTGTATAATCACCCTAAACATAACCCTTAAGCCTAGTATAAAGTATTAAATAGTTCCTGGGCCTCTTTTTATATACAGATCAAAACAACTTCATTTTTATAGCATACATATCCTAGTTCTTGACATTTATTCAAACATATGTAGGTGGCATCATCAGCATCCTCCTTCTTACCAGTTAATGCAGCCTTCCCACCAGATGGGGACACCTGTTTGTCAGGTCATGCTGATCCTTATTATGGTGTCTTGTACTGACTTACTAATTCATTTTCTTTCTGTTGGCTTTGGAGGCCCTTCTAAGGCTAGCAAGCTACTTTTCTAGCACTTCTGTTCAAGAATACAGTATGCCTGGTTTTGTTCCAGCAAGGCTTACTTTGGTCCATGCTGTTAGCAGGGTCTCTGTGTGATTTGTATACACACTGATTGATGGTTGTATTAATCCATACTCCAGTGAGGCTAGCAAATGGCAGCCATTGCTGCTGCCAGCCTACCTGCCGCAGCCACTGCAACCAGGCCAGCCCCTGCCACTGCCCCATGTTATGTCTCTGCTCCTGCCTTGTGTGGCCATGTAGGATGAATGCTTTCCTTCACTGCAGAGGCCTGCATTTTTTCCTATCAGCATCAGAGAAGCCATTTAGACACCTCTCCAGGATGCTCTGGGGACAGCAGGTCTTTGGGTTTCTAAACTTCCCTCCTCTCTCTTCTTGTTGCAGCAACACTGATGTTCACACTGTGGCCTCCCTCCTGAAGCTTTACCTCCGAGAGCTGCCGGAACCTGTAATCCCCTTTGCCAAATATGAAGACTTCCTCTCTTGTGGACAGCTGCTCTCCAAAGATGAGGGCGAGGTCAGTGCTCCTCCTAACCCATCTCCTTTTATCCTCAATGCTGTTCTTAAGCTTCCTGACCCAGTGCAGGCCTATTTCATAACTCTGAACCAAAGCCCAGTACTCCCTGTGAATCTTCCTTGAACTTTAGTAAGCTTTGTTTCAAGCTGTCATACCATGAGCTGCAGCATGAAGCAGATGGCTCTTGGAAGTAGGTCTTGAAATCCTGCAATGTGTAACATTCATAGAGCATGGTTTGATATTCTTTTTGATTATGACTTGTTCTTCTTAGTAGGGCTGTTTTCTAGTTGATGCCGTAAAGAGGTGTGAGTCAGGAAGCCTGGATCACTGACTCATTCTGACTCACTGGACAAGTCATTTCACCTGCCTATGCCTCATTTTCTCCATTACTTATATGGGGATTATAATTCCTACCTCTGAGATGCATTCAGGGAGGTTCCTAACTGATGTCTGTAAGTGGCTTTAAAGAGTTACTCAGAGGAAAGAAGCCACAAAAGAGTAAATGATGTTATTATCCCAAATGGATATGAGGGTAAATAATAATGTTGAGCACTTCAACAGTATCTTCTATTGAAGACTGATTTTTCATATTTTCTTCCATTTTATTCCAAGAAGTAGAACAACCTAAAGGAGCCTTCCAGGTCTTGGGCAGAAGTGCAGGTTGGATGGAAGGTGTCTTTTGGACTCTGTGGAAGATAATGGGATAATTCATCATTGTTGTAATTTATAAATTATTCTCCCATCCCAGTGATATCTGTCCACCATATTGGATTGGACCTGATCTGATGGAGGCAGGAAAGATTGCGTCACCTTCTAGATGGAGATTTTCAAAAGGGATTTGAACCATATTACTTGTGCCCCCAGATGTCTGTGGGTTCTAGAGTAACACATGCAAGGTTCTAGCCTGTTGCGCTATGTGTACAGCCAAGAATGTGCTCCTAGTGTTGCTCTAGTGGTTGGTCCCAGGGGGCTACATCAACCTACCACTTCTTCATGGGGGGCTTTCCTGTAATTTGAGTGTAAAGTTCTGTGTAGTGATGCTAACAATCCCAGAGCCAATCCCTGTTGATATCCCAAATATGTGCCTGTGTGCAGCCATTAGTAGTTATGCACCATGCAGTAGTAGTAATCCCAGTATCTGTATGCCGATTCATTACACCGTGATACAGTTGCAGCCATACATACAGAGGCAGTACACCAGAGTGTTGATGGATCACCTAGACTGACAAGAGAAATAGTTTTGAACCCCAGAAGCCCATTAAAGCAAAAGCAAGCAAGCCTAGTGCTACATTGGGCAACGATCATTTTATGTCATCATTCAGCATATTAATTATGTAGCTTGTCAGCAGACTTCATTGCCTGAGAAGCAGCATCAGTCTTGTTTTTGTATGAATGCTAGACCTAAAAGAAATGTATTTCATTATTCTATTTGCATGGGAGGGAGGGACCTCCCTGTAGTTCTTGTTTGTTTAACCATACTTCACATGTCACTGAAATGAAAGTTTACAAAACACAACATAGTGCTTAAGCCATTGCTGAAAATGTGCTTCTAACAATTTCTGAATTGTTAGATGAATGTGGAGCCCCAAAAGAGCTGTCTCCTTTTGGGAAGGAAACTTGGGATAAACACAGCATGGATGGGGAGCACCCCAATGTCTGTCTGTTCTCAGTAGAGCAAGTAGGACAAGTTCACATAAATCACTGCCCTGACCAATAAAGCTATTTTTGGGGGGGGGGTAATTTTCTTGATGAAAAAAACATGGTTTCACTTCAACAATATCTGTCACAGGAAATTATCAGCTTTAGGGGATTTTTTTTGCAGGAGAATACAAAAGCAAAATCTTTGTTTTGAGTTGACATCTGAAAACAAAATGCATTTTTTGTTTTAACCTGAAGTGTCTTCCCTAGTTGTGTTTTCAAATGGAAATGAAAATGTTTGTAATGAATTGGATGTTTCAGACTAAAACTGCTGTTTTTCTTAGGTTGTTCAGACCTGAATGGCAGAAACAATATTACTTTAGTCAAACTATTAACTCAAAACATGTGTTTTAATTATGCCAAGTAGAAAAATCTAAATAAAGCATCATATGGAACTGAATTGAAAATGTTTGCTTAGTTTCAAACAATTTATTCTTAATCAAAATGTTGGTGACTAAGCAGTTGGAAATTTCCTATGGTACTCGAGACCAAAAAATGTTGACAGAATTTTTTTCATTCAAAGTATCTCTCAGTTAAACTCCGGGGCACTTTACTTTGTGTTGTTGCCTCTCAACCAGAGGTGGTTTTTGTTATACACAAAATTAGTGCAGGGTGATAGGGGCAGCTGCTCAGGCACTGATTGGAAGCATCAAGAGGAAAAACTGCTGTCACTGCAGCTGCACAGTTGTGCTGGCCATAGTGCAGCGGCAGCCAGAAGTTGCCACTGCCTGTGTGCTGCAGGAAGCTGTGCTGTTATATCTCTGGTGCAGGCCTCCCCATATACACTCTGGAACAGTAGCAAAGAATGCTTGGGATATATTCCAGACCTTTTGCTTCTTATCCAGATTGCTTGCATACATCCCTGCGTCAATCCTGATCACCTGTTCACAGCAGATGTGGAGCCTTTATTGCTATTACTTGTATACCAGTATTCATCTTTGTACAGCTGTAATGCTGTCTGTGGGACAGGACCAGGAGCATAATCTCTCTGGTGCAGCTGGCTCTAATCACAGCCAGATCCAGGAAGGAACAAAGTAGATAAAGGTGAAAAATTGTAGAATAAAAATTAAGGAAATATTTTCAAGCCTTTAAATTCTCATTTGACTTCAAGAGATGCCCACTGTCACGTTGGCATCTTTGCTGCTACAGGGAGCCAGATTTTATGCCCAATACTCATGAAAGGAAGAAGGTAGGCAGGCTGTTTTAAATCTTTAAATCAACTCTTCTCAACCTTTTTAGATTCAAGGCACCTCTCAGAAAATTCCAGCTCTTAATTTTCACATTGCAAAGAATAGAAAGATCACAAGAGGTCAGAATGTTTTTACCCTATAAATTCCTATTTGAAATCTTTGGGTTTATTTTGTGAATCATGTTTGCACACCAACAGTGCTAACATTGTGTGGCACCCTATGGCATCCTTGAAATTATCTCAAGGCACCCCACAGTGCCACATCACCCCGACTGAGAATCACGTCTTTAACGAGAAGGTCAAGTGCGAGGGGATAGAGGAAGAGGCTTGAGTTGCCTTGCTGAGCCCTGGGTCTTCAGCCCAACATGGAGACTTTGCTAACACCAATTTCTTCTACACATTTCAAATTTCTGTGCGCCAAAAAACCTCCTTATAAAGGAGTCTCCTGCAGTACTGGTCTGAAACACTGCATTTTACATTAGTGATGCTACAAGGGGCTGAGTGTCAATGCAAAATATCACAGGGATGGGTGAAAGAGGATATATGTCCCTTAAAAGCTGAGGGCAAGTTGATAATACTGCAGTCCTTTCTACTTGATTAACTTTGAGTATTTAGGAAAGCGCCCTCACAGTTCTCTGGGACAGCCTTGCTGAGACCCGCCTTTCTGTGGCTGGTGTTCATGTTATCAGTGGTCACCAGCCTGCAACAGACTGAAAATGACTCCTGCAATGGTGGCAGCAGTAAGGACAGAAGTTCTAGCTGGCATGTATTTTTACCTTGATACATTTCTAAGTGCTGTTTTGCTATCTCCAAGTTCATGATTTCCTAGTGACTTTCTCTTGATAACTGGGTTGTAAATAATTGTTTCTTTTATGTGTAAGGTCACCCAATTTGTCCATCCATTCCCTATGGGTCTTGCATTAAACTGCCTGTCTACCTACATTTAGGAAGAGGATGTGCAAAACTCCTCTACTCAACCCAGTGGGTCTGTGGCATTTAACACTGTTGTCAACACTTATAGTTAAATTCTGCTCTTATCTGTGCCTTTGAATTCTGTAGAATAAAAATTAGACAAATTTGGCCTGTTAGCTGAATTATTTTCCAACTCATTCACTTTTGAAAATAAAAAAATACCGTGCTTTTTTGGATAAACTAATGATAACTTAAAACTGACTTGAATGCTGCAGGCAAGCTGAAGCTGCACCTCAGATGAACCTTCTCAAAGGTTCAAAAACCTGTGGTTAAGATTTTCCAAAGTGACAGGTGAATTTGATGCCTTGGGTTTTGACACCATTAAAAAGACCTGATTTGGTGGTGACCCCTAAATTTGATCCCAGGAAGGTGTCTCTGGACAGGTTTTTAGTCACTTTTGAATGTCTTTTAAATTTTCTTGTTTCACAGTTGATGGGTTCTTTGTTTTTTGTTGTTGGTTTTTTTTCTCCTGGATTTCCCACAACTCTGTGCTTAACGGAGGGCTGGGAACAGAGCTAGAAATATGGGAATAATACAAGAAAGGCAGCTCTCTGGGTCTTTCTGTCCTGTCTAGACCCCTTACCCTCTTAGGGATCTTCAAGTAAGTGTCTTGAAATTCCCAGCTCAGTGGCCTCTGAGGTCTGAGCAGTTTCAGATAAATATCCACACATTTTTGTTTCACGTGTGAACCACCAGGCTGTTTTGAAGCTATTCACCCATAACTTCATTCCTCCAGGATCACCTTGGAGTGTGTCAACACAGGGGCACAGCCAGTGGCCTCAGGCCCCTTTCCCTGCAGTCCAGGTGCTGCTGGATTCTGCAGTGAAGAGAACAAAACATTACAAAAAGACTTAGAGATGTTGTCATTCATGCCACGGACACATCACTGAGACTCTCAAAATCTTTCCAAGGAGCCAGTAGCTCCTCAGTAGCTTATCTCTCCTCCTGTATTAAGATTTAGACTTTTACCTTAGATCTGGACTTGCACAGAGGTCATCCCAACTCACTGCATCAAAACGATGGGGAATAGCAGAAGTGAGAACATGGGAGACAGTGCAGTCGGTGTGGAATGTGTTGGTTTTCATAAGACGTGCATGCCTGTCTGACCAGCTCAGCATCAACAGGATGTGCTTTCAGCACTGAGACTGCTCTGCTTGATGCTCCCAAACAGACTGGGCACTGAAAAGGCAAATAAGCTGGTAAAATTGTATCGGGGCCTCAGGGAAGATTCAGAAGCGTGGTACAGGTAACTGGGCAAGGGCCTGCCCACCAGCCATTGGAGTCTAAAGATTATTGACTTGATTAAGGGCCTGCCCAACAGCCATTGGAGTCTAAAGATTATTGACTTGAATGAGAGAAAATCAGCGCTGGAGGACTGGCGACTGTTACTATGGAGTGGTGTCATACTTACAGGATTTTGCAACCTTTTCATTTTGGACAATACGTCCTTTTTATTCCTGGGAACAAACCTGCTTACACAGGGAATTGCAAAGCATGTGGTTTCCATTGCACTTCATAAAACTCAACTGGGTTTTTTTTCCCCTTTTTTTATTTCCCCAGCAGTATTTTTTCCAGAAAATCTAATAAGTGTGATTTTATCAGGTTGGACAATAGCATGTCCACGCTGCCTTGTGGGGAGGGGAGGAGACTCCTGCCACCTGCTCAGGAGGACCAAAGCATGCAGCACAGGAGAAGTATTTCTCACAAGGAGTGCCAAGCCTGAGTCATGGGCACACAGTGCTCGCTGTCCTGTGAGGGTCTCAAGGTAGCGTACAGGAAATCAACAGCATTGAGGTGCTGTAAAGCTTATCTCATTTTCCCCATGTTTTCATTTTTCTTTGTAAAATGGCCACATTTGCAATAAAGCAGTAAACAAGAAACCCTACATACCATTTTTACAGTTACTTCCCCAGAGCAGAAGTGAATGGCACTTAGTGTCAGAACACCTGGGATTCATTTCTAGTTGTTGTGCCTTGGTGTCACCCTGGGTGAGTCTTTTCACCTCTCTCTACCTCTGCTTCTCTGCTTGGCAAATGAAAACAGTGGTACTCCCCTACCCCACACCTTGATCATAGAGCTAAATTTAATAATGCCTGCATGGTTTCTTGAGACCTTTGCATGGAAGTTACCACAACAGGACAAAGTCTTGGTATCAGCAGTATTGAAATAGGCCTCCCAAGTCTTCTAGACAAAAGTGGTTCTGTTGCCAGGTGGCATCTGAAACTGAAAGTATGGGTTGGTAGTGTGATTTGTTTGAAGTCCCCAGCAGGCCAATGGCCCCACTGAGCTCCAGAGGTGCAGAGAGCAAGGGTTTGATACTGCCACTTTTGCAAAGGCACATGCCAGACTGGAGTAAGTTTGCAATAATCAAGTTTGCAATAATAATAATCAAGTTCTGACCCAACTCAGCTCTGCTTGGACAGATCTCTGAAGGCAGAAAAACTGCTGCTGCCCTGTGGAGGCCAGCCTGAAGTTGCAGAAACCCAGACTCTTCATTTTTGGGATGTCAGGACAGGACAGAGGCAAGGTGGGGATAGATGCTTCAAGGTTGACATGCCTTCCCTTCCCAATCAGTTGAGAAGTACACCACACTGACAGCATCACTTATGCTGGAAGCTGTGGGTGATGGTTTGTACCTATTCAGGCTTTCCATAGAGCCTAGCGCTGTGGTTTGTGCACTTAGGTTTGCTTCAGAGGAAAAGGGATTTTCCTACTTATGCAGTGTCCCATTCACATTGTATCCTTCTGTAAATAACTGCTCTCACTGTTTGTCTTGACCTCTAGGGTACCCAGGAGCTGGTCAAGCAAGTAAAGAATCTGCCCCCAGCCAACTACAACCTCCTCAAGTACATATGCAAGTAAGTGGCACTGGTAAACCATCAGCAAAATCAGAGCCACCAAGTTTTATATGGCTCTCTGTGTGATATCACATGCAAATTATTTACTGAGCCAACATGCTGAAATTGTTTACACTTAACTCCTATAACAGTTCGAGTGGTGGAGTATTTTGTCGCCCTGGTGAGGGAAGCTCTGAGTTTGTATCTCCAGAACAGGAGGGTAATCTGTTCTAATCCACTGCCCTACCAACAGGCATAACTTATATTATTAATAGTGATGATGCTGTTTCTTAAAGCAGTGCTTAAGGGCCAGCCGGGTTCAAGGCGCCACAGTGGTATATGAACAGGGAGTAGTAGCTGGTCCTTGTCCCAAAATGTTTACAGTTTAAACAGGTCAGAGGAAGGGTTGGAGGACTTCAGCAGAGTAAGCAGTTTGACAGCCTGCAACCCTGACCTAGTGACTGGGTGACTGCCATTCATTCCCCTTGGCTTATTCTTTTCTTGGTTTCTTTGCTGACTAACAGTTTGCACAAGGAAGATGTTGAGGGTGGGAGTATGTGATGTGGGTGCAAGGACTGAGGCTACAATGTCCACAGGAAACAGCAGGAGCTTTGAGTTATATCTTGCTTCCATGTCTGAGTTGGACTCCCCCTTGGGCTCCAATAGGACTAACCAATATGGATCAAGGCAGTGAGCTGCAGTGCTAGCATCACCAGTGCCCGTCTCTTTCAGTAGGAGCAGGGCAAAGCCTAAGTGTAGGGGGGAGAGGGTTTTTTTTATATGTTGCCACAGGAACTACAGACCTCAGTAAGTTTTGCTACAGCCCTCATTACTGGAGTAGCTGAACACCTCCCAAAGGTGAATTATTCATTACAGTGCTCCCATGAAGGAGGAAAATGTTATTATCCACATTTTACAGAGGGGACACTGAGCCATGAAAGAGCTTAAGAAACTTGACCAGTGTTACACAGCAGGTGTGGGTCAGAGCTGAGAACAGCCTTGGCCCAGGGCCCTAGCCACCTATCAAATACAGAGGACTGTACACAAAAGTTACACTGCTGGCAGAAACATCCACTCACTCCTGTGTCCCTACTGCTGTAGCATAGCAAGGGCCTAGTTCAGGGGTTGGGCAAAATACGGCTCACCAACTGATTGGATCCAGCCCGTGGGCAGGTGCATACTAATTGATTGGATCAGGCCTGTGGCTGCCCTGCAGGACTCCGCATGGGGCTGAGCCCCACCCGCTCCTGCCCAGAGCAGCTGGCACCAGGCCCCTGCCTAGCCCCAGCCCTGGTCCTGATCCTGGTTCTGGCCAGCATTCACAGCTTTCCAGCGGGCCTGCTCCCAGCGTGATTGCAGCTGCCTGGGTACTGCTCACCTCACCTCACCCCCATCCTTCAGTGGCTCTTCCTCTTCCTTGTCCTGCCCCTGCTGTGCCATTCTGGACAGCAGGTAACACAGGGAAGCAGCAGTGGCCATGGAGAGGTGTGCTAGACACCACATGCCCAGTCAGGCAACGAGGAAGCTGCAGCCAGGCAGCTCCTGCCCCAATGTGCAGGGCTCCAGCTCAGTGGAAGCTGGAGCTGGAGCCCCACACACTGGGGCAGGAGCTGCCTGGCTGCAGCTTCCCCCAGCCAGCTGGCTGGGCATGTGGTGCCCAGCACACATTCACATGGCTGCCATTGCTTCACTGCACCACCTGCTGCCTGGAGCAGCACAGCAGGGGCACGAGAAGGAAGAGCCGCTGGAGGCAGGAGGAATTGAGCAGTACCCCACAGCTGCAGCTGCACTGGGAGCAGCCCTGCCGGGAAGTTGTACATTTTGGAAGCAGAGTGTGGGCTGCCCCCTGTGTGAGCAGCCAGAGCTTAGCCCCATGCAGAGTGCTGTGGGGGTAGCCATGGACCATATCGGGGGGAGGGGGAGCAGACTGAACCTACACCGCATTGCTCCCTGGTCCCCACTTCCTCTGACCAAAACCCCAGCTGGCTCCCAGGGCCTAGTGTATGGGCACCCCCTCACAAACCCCACACACACATACTCTTCCCCCCCCTCTACATCTCCCACTGACCCCCCATGACCCTCCCCACACACATACAATATACAAAAGTAAGATCTTATGTTGCGCTATTATGCAATTGCCTCTAAATAAAATTGGACAAAATGTATTTTTTAAATAAAATTAAAATATAGTATAGTAGAGGTTTGATTTTAGTATATGATTTGTTTTTTATCTATAATTTATTAAAATGACATCTTCTAAAAGATTTTGTGTGTGTGGCTCTCGACAGCTCACCAAAACTTGTTAAGCGGCCCTCCAGCCAAAATAATTGTCTACCCCGGCCTAGTTTCCTTTTGTCATTTCACCTCAGATCTCACACTCTTCCACAAAAGGGAGCAGGGATTTAAAAATAAAGTGCTGTGGGGATGACTGTTATCCTGGGAATGCAGAGAGGCCTGCAAGGGACCTTCTGGGTCAGGGAGTCCAGTCCCTTGCTATCCCAGGCATTGCATTGTAGAATCCTTCTGAGAGTTCAGTCAAACCCCATCTTAAAGCTAGCTAGGTTTCCTAGGGGTTTTGCCCTCACTACTCCCATTTGGATACTGCTTTATGCCCTCACTGCTGTGATCATTATGACCCTTTTTTCTAATTTCAGGTGGAATTTACCCATGTCCAGTTTATCCCCATGTATTCTTGTGCTAGCATTGTCCTGTAGCTTAAATAGCTCTTCTCTCTCCTTGATGCTTACCCATTTGAGATATTTCTGTAGAACTGTCATATTGCCTCTCAGCTTTCATTTTGCTAGGCTAAACAAATCAAGCTCTCTTGGTTGACTGCTTGGTTTCTTGCCATGTTCCTATGTGGGAAATAGCAGGAAATAGCTAAAACTGACTTAAGAATTTGGTCTAAAGAGGAGAGAATCTCAGTTCTTCTATAGGTTGAAGGGGCTGGTGGCTTTGGCACTGGTGGCCATTGGACCTTTCTATCTTTACATCCTTTGAAGGAATAGGGTATATGTGTCATTTGAATTATAGTGACACCTATGAGCTCCTGACATGAACCAGGATTTAGTGGGGCTAGGTACCATATGAACAGTAAACAGTAAGATGGTTCCTGCTTCTGAGACCTAGCAGAAACAAAAGATGATAGAGGGCACATGGAAAGGCTGAGGCATCAGGTTTAATCTGACACTTCTCTTCTCTTTCTCTCTGTTTTCTGGGGGAACTTTTCAAGGTTCCTCGATGAAGTTCAGTCTCACTCCAGCATAAACAAAATGAGCGTCCAGAACCTTGCCACAGTCTTTGGACCAAATATACTGCGACCCAAAATGGAAGATCCAGTGACCATGATGGAAGGTAGGTGCTCTCGTTCCTGCGAGGGTGCTACCTTCTGGACCCACACAGACATTGCATGTAAAACACTTATTATCAGAAACTCCATGTCATTCACCATACTGCCCAGTGCAGATGACATCAGAGGGGGCTTGGTCACCCATAGCAAGCAGAACAATTCTCCTCACTCAGTGCTTGTTCATGGGACATAACATTGCTCCCAGTTCATGGAGTATCCCCCACATCATCTCTGGCATGAGGAGCACCAAGCCCCACACTGTTACATGGGGTGTTCTTCTGTACTCTCTGCTGTCACAGGAAACATCTTCTGAGCTTACCGTTGCTAAGGTGAGAACCTGATTGTTCTTCTGAAGGCTTATAATATTGAAAACTTGAAATATCAGAGAAGTTACTGCTGATCATTATCAGCGCCAACCACCTTTATACACTCCAGTGTCCTGTAAAGGGATCCATAATGAAAAAAAACACAATAAAGCTCTCTGTAAGCAAATGGCTCTCTCCTATAGGAACTGGCTGTGGCCATGTCTATCTACACTGCAGCAGATATTGGCTGAGCTTGCTTTAAACTAGCTAACTCTTGCTTCTCTGATGCACATTCAAGAATCTGAAACTTGAAAAATATTCATCTCCTCATATGTCAGCATATCTCCAGGACACTCTAGTTGAAATTAGGATTCAGTCCTGGGGATCATCTGATTCCTACATAGAGCTGGAAGATGACAGCTGTACTTCATATTTCAACACATCTGTATAACCAACTTTTAGGTGGGAAAGCATGGGCAGTTTTGATGTTTCCATGTGGTGCCTGAAATGGATGAAAACGTTAAAACCGCAAGATAGTACTTCCTCTGTTCTGTAACTGAATGGGATCTGGGAACATCAGTGGAAGTGGGACTGTACTTTGTGGAATTCCATCCAGATAAAGCTAGGATTCTTATATGCTGAAAGCAGAGATGTTTTCTGTGCACTGTACGAACAAGCTCCTTAATGACATAGTGAGCAGGCATCCAGGTGGTTACAGACCCAGGAGGGTAAGGCTCACCCATCCATGACCCATACTTCAAGACACGCCACTAGCGTGCATGACAAGTAATAACACTGTCTACTGCCCTGTGTCTGGAGGCCTTCTCCAGAGATATTTTACTAGTGGAATCTCAGAGATTTTCCTTTAGGTTACTTAGCATATATGCTGAGGTAGGGTTACCATATTTCCAAGTTAAAAAAAGGGGACACTTGTGGGGGGGAGATAATATGATTGTGGGGGAGCAGTGATATGCCAGTGCCTGCCCCTCACTTCTGATCCACAGTACCCCACCCCCCAGACCATGCTGGTGCCCCTCACTCCCAACCCATAGCCCCCCCACCCCGTCCCCACTGATATCCCTTACTCCCCACCTGCAGCCTCCTGGCCCTGCCTGTGCCCTGTGCTCCCAACCCACAGTCCCCCGCCCCTCTCGTGCTCCTCACTCAAGTCACAGCCCTCTCCCCCTCATCCCCCACAGCCCTGCTGGTGTCCCTCACTCTTTACCCATAGCCCCTTGCCCCCCACACCCAGCCCTGCCAGTGCCCATCACTCCCAACCCACAACCCTCTGTCTCCCCCAGCCCTGCTGCCCACGCAGCTCCCTGTTTCCCCTGAAGAAGCCCCCCTTCCCCTTCCCCAGCTGGAGGGGCAGGCACCTGCCCTGCCTCCCTGCCCTGCTGCAGCCCCAGTACCAGCAGGCACTTGCATGTGCACGTACACACACTCTCTCTCTGTCTCTTTCTGTCTCTGTCTGTCCGGGCCTTACCTGCCTGCAGCTGCTGGGGCTTGCGGGCAGATGCAGGTGATGCCCTGCCCCCACTCCCCAGCCCCAAGCAGCTCCTGGCTGGGGCAAGCCAGGAAGTGCTGGGGAGAACTTCGATGCTGAGCGGAGACAGAGCAAAATCATGGACGTATGTTGATATTTAAAAAAACTGCCAGGACAGAGACTGGAAGGTCCAAAAAGAGGACATGTCTGGGAAAACCTGGATGCATGGTAACTCTAGCTGAGGGGATTGAGCTGTAGGGCTGAGCTAGGTCCCAGTTGTAATATACACCTATCCAGTGTGGTGCTCGGTCTCCCTCTAGTGGTGGCTGGACCACAAACACACCTAGGTGAGACTACTACAGCTTTGGCTGATAAAAGGGTGACTTTCAGTGCAAGCAGTACACACTCATGCACTTAGCTCCAGCAGTCTCAGATTCAGTATCTGCTGCTGAAGCCCCCACCCTGGAGCATGGCATGCCATGGTTCAGCTGATACCCTACATGCTGCCTTACAGTGTTGGAATACTTTCCTCATTAGCAAATGAATTACTACTGATTATGCAACTTTCCCACTTCCAGGAAATAGCCATTGCAGTTTTGGTAAAAGATGCTGTCTGTTAGTGTCTGTTTCACTGATAGAAAAGAAGCAGAGGCTGCTCATGACTGGGTGTCTGTTAGCACCCTGGTTTCCCATATGGAATATTTTGCCTGGCCAGTTGGGTTAGTAATAACTTGTCAAAAACCAGAGAAGAGTTCAATTTCCCTCAATGGAATCTCACCAAAGGTGACTTTCCCCCAAGTACCCAGCACACAGCTGTGCAGTTTAGGCAGGGGAGAAGACAGACGGCAGAGGGGTGCATCCTGACAAAGAATGGAACTGCAAGGTAGTCACTGAGTGATGCAAGAAGCCATTTGTTCTGTTTTCATGCCACCAAATATATATACCACCACCGTTGTAAGGACTCCAACTCCCATTGCTTAACAAAAACAGGGTGGTGTACTGGTTAGAGTAAGAGGTCTGGCAGTTGGGACTCCTGGGTTCTGCTGCTGACTCAGTCACTGATTAACTCTGTGATGTTGGGCAAGACAGTGTAATTATTCATTCATAACATTGCTAAAATCCACTTGCAGTGTACTAAACCTTGAAGATATGAGGGCTCCTTTATGTGAGGCCCTGCACAGACATTTTTGAATTCATATTCCACATCTGTAATCATGGCAACAATGCTACTTGTCTTTTCCAATCCATTGATGGAAGAGCCTAGCGTTATTAGCATGTATTATTTATACAGGTCCATTATTGTACATTATGCTCCCAGAGCTGCCCCATGGAGTTTCTCAGAGCCAGGAAATGAATATCTGAGGCCTTTTCATTTCTCTGATTAAATCCTTGGTTGTGTTTGCTCCCCGCAGGCACCTCACTGGTTCAGCACCTGATGACTGTTCTGATAAGCGAGCAGGGGCGGATCTTTGCTGTTCCACAGGCTGATGCATCAGGAAGCCAGCCCGCAGCCTGGCCTGCACACCTGCGTAGCACTGTGGAATGGATCTCTGAAGAAGACAGCGAGGAAAGCCGATCAGAGCACAGTGCCCCCAGCCCTGGTGACCTGCATCCTGGCAGCGCTGTGGTCTTGAATGCTGTGCCTGGCTCTCTGACTAAAATCACCCCTCAGGAGCGCAGCGGCAAAGTGAGCCAGCCAGCTACCAGCCCCAGCAAAAGAGTGCAAACATTGCCCCCCTGGAAATACTCCTTTCGCCAGCAGGGGGCACGGTCTGTGAGCCCCAAGCTGGGCAGCTCATCCTTAGATATCCCCAATCTGTCCTCTGGTGGGAACTGGCTGATGAATGGATTGTACTCTCTCCGAGGGCACCGCCGGACCTCCTCTGGGGAACGGGTAAAAGACTCAGGTTCGTCCCAGAGACTCTCTACCTATGACAACGTGCCCTCCTCCAGCCTCTCTCTCAGCACACACAGCATTGCCAGCACCACATGGTCAACGTCATCCTGTGAAATCTCCGTCATGGACTCTGTCAGCAGCTGCCCAGCCTGTCGGGCCAGCGACACCTCAGCCTTAAGCTCTTTCCGAACTGAGTGGGCTACTCAGGGCTCGCTGTCGCAAAGCGAAGTCAAGACTGTGGATCTGGACAACAGCCTTCAAAGGCTTGAAGCATGCAGCAGTAGCAGTGAGCTTAGTGACCCTGCCACTGCTTCCAGAGACTCTGCCAAGTGCTCCAGAGCCCTGCAGAGCTTGGTGGCAGAGCTAAAGACAGAACTGAGCAAACAGAGGACTGAGTACGAGTCTAGTATGAAAAGGTAACCCCACTCCTGGCAGTGCCCAAAAATCCTTGTTGCAGTGTTGTCCTTAAGCAAAAATTAATCCCACTTAGGACAGGGAAGATACTTGCCTCTCTAGCAATGGGTCTGAGCTGCATAGTGTGTGGGGTGTTTAGATCTGGGGCTTCAGCTGCCTGAAGGAGAAAGAGGGGGTCAAGTTTAGACACATACCCGGACCTCTGTTTCCCAGAGCTGTTTGAATGCAGCTTTGCTCCCATCCCAGGTACTTTATGACTAGAGAGGATTGAAAAAATGGGATTTCCATTCCCTGGGAAACTAGTGTTTTGCTAGTCAGGGCATCCAGTGGAAAAGAAAAAGTGTCAACATGTCCATTTTTATTTTGCTGACTTCACAATCAGTCCGACTAAGAAGCCCAGCCCAGGAGGCATTATGAGGGCAAAGGGCACCCAAACTACAAATCTTACAAGGCCCTGGGGTGGCTTAGCTAGACACTGGGATTCATTTTAATCCAACCTGACACACCTGCTGTCTTGATAACAAATGCTACTGATGTAAGCCCTTTCAATGTAACCCTTATATCTGCATGCTTCTGTAGTGATGTAAGTGTAGAAAAACTGTTGCAACTTTAACCCTGTTGCATTCAGGTTACAGCAGTTTAGTTCACCTGCATCCTGACAGAAACATGCAGACTTAACAGTTACAATGTAATTGGCACTCCAGAGCAGCAAGTTCCCCCTCCCCATAAAGTGGGCAAAATATATGTTCACCCATAGTGTAAGTGTTTCATTCTGACTTTCCCAAAAGAAAACTCCACAAAAAATGATCATTTATCTTGAAAAATTGCATGTTTGGCACAACCCTGCAGAATAGGAACATTTCAGCCAACACTTTGACCAGACCTATTCACAGATGAGTTTTATACTTTCAGAGTTTAGCTCAGTTCCCAGTGTTCGGTTCCCAGGGGGCTCCTCCTGTGTGTGCACCTTCCCCCACCAGCCTGTGCTTTCATACCAGCCTGTGATGGTTCAGACAGAGAAGCAAGGGGCTTGTGCACCTGTTTTCTGCACAAAAATGTCAGGGGTGGGCAAAGCCTGAGCAGATGTGCTGGTATGAAGATGTAGCTCTTAATTTAGTACCCAGTCATTAAGTGTACACAAATCCTCCCACAGTCATCACCAAATGAAGTAGATCAGCTGTACCAGCACAGCTACTCCACTTCATTGGACAAAACACATGTAGCCCATTCTTCCACCCATTCATCTTGTGAGATATGCTCCTCTTTTGCAGAGATGTGCCCCCAGCAATCTCTGGGGTTCCTGGAAATAGCTGGGGTGCACCTGCACAAGCAGGGATCCCCAAGCTTTCCTCACCTCCAGAGATTCACCCCCAGTATCTTCAGTGTCTAGAAATGGCAAAAGCTGAGACAATGGTGAGGTCCAGGGTTGGAGTCAGCAATCAGCTTTCTTTATTTAGCGTATGTGGTTTTGGCATATTGTTTCAGCTATCTTAAGGTGATGTCATCAACAGTATGAAGAACTTGAAGGCCACCAGGTACCATAATAAGTAGATGCAAGCCAACAGTTTAAATTTATCCACAGAGGCATTTGTTGTCATCGCGAAGGCCTCATTGGCATAGGTCTGGGGCACAGTGACCCTGTCCAGTTCAAAAATGGTTGAGAAATTCCCAGTAACAGCATGGCCAGTTAAATCCTGGTTGACTGACTGTAGGGTTGTACATGATGTGGTGATTGGTTGGTGCTTGCGCTGACCATTCTTCGTGCCATTGAGTAAGTAAGGAAAAATCAAAGGGTTTTAAAAAGGTGGACCATATTAGACATCTTGAGGGCAGCCGAGCTATTGGTGGGTGAAATATGTCCCAGTGCACTGGCAGCTTATAATTATCACAGAGTCTGGCTAGTAAGTTTACTTCAGCAGTTATGCAGCAGAGATGATGGGAAGCAATATTACTGAGGACTAGTAACCATGAGAGTGAAGTGGGGTGCACTCCACTCCAGACACATTGTAGTATGCAGTTGGGTGTCCACTAGCTTGCTGTGCATAGGTGTTAGTGTCAGAAGGGACCTCAGTAGGTCATCGAGTCCAACCCCCTGCCCTGGGCAGGAAAGAGGGCTGGGGGGTCCCATACAGAAGCACAGTATTCTGCAACTGAATAACACAGTGTAAGAGCAGATGAACATATCATGGAGGTATTGGTACCCCAAGTGGAGCCTATAGGTTTGGCAAGTGGGTTATTCCTTGTTTTTTTTTAAATTTTGATTGGCATTCTCAGCCCCGGAACCATACCACAGTGAGTTTGACAGCCAGAGGTGCCTTTCTGCAAGTGGGGAAAAGCCAGGCAAGTGCTCCTGGAACTTGAAGGGCCTGATCCTGCACATGAGTTCCTAGGGTGCACAGGACTCACACCCTGGAGACAGCTGCCTGGGGTGGCAGGAAAGTGCAGGCAGTCCTGGCTGCCCATGCTCTCCTGCTATAAAACAAATAGAAGTCTGGCACAACAAAGTGGCACAAATTATTACTGTCTATTGTTGCAGCCACATTGGGGTGCTATGAAAGGTATGGACATCTATTTGCTGTTTTTCTGGTGGCACAAAGTTGATGAAAGGTGACATCTGTTTCCACCCACAACTACAAGGGTATTCTCTAGCTACACAGGGCAACAGGATCAGACGAACATTTTAAAATGAATCTGTGAGCATTTGATGGGGTTGTATGCAGATAAGTACACAGGTAAGCAACCCCATGAAATAAACAGGAGTTTGTCAGTTTGGATGTGATACTGCCTACATGAAAAATGTTTGATAGGTAGGTAGTGTTGTCCTAGATGAAATTATATCCATTAACTTGGTGCTGTACTGCAATACCGAAGAATCAGCTTCTGTTTGAGCATTTGCTGTAATGTTTCTAGACAGTGGTAGGTCCAGAAATAGCTAGTGTTTGTTATGGGAGGCAAACAGGTACCTTGGGACAGATTTGGGCACTTCATTGTGGTAAATGTTATTTGTAGTGCGGGACATCCTACAAGCTCCAACTCCAGGCCATGGGCCTGTAAGGCCAGGTACTGGATAGATGCAGGATACACTTTACAGCTATTGCATAATATTGAGGAGACCTCTAAGACTGTGGAGGAAGGGCCGCCAGAGGTAGCACTAGAGAAGGAAAAGGACATGAATGCCCAGGAAGGTGGAAGCTGGAAGCTTGTGACCTCTGGCAGCAAGCAGAAGACTTCATCTCCACTGGAAGATGGGCAGCACAGTTTGGAGAGGAGGTGATCACCCCCCAGGGGTGAAAGAACAGGTTAGGGACTACTTAGAAAAGCTGGATGCATACAAGTCTATGGGGATGGATGGGATGCACCCAAGGGTGCTGAGGGAGGTGGCTGATGTGATTGAAGAACCATTGGTCATCATCTTTGAAAACTCATGGCAATCAGGAGAGGTCCCGGATGATTGGGGAAGGGCAAACGTAGTGCCCATATTTAAGAAAGGGAAGAAGGAGGATCCAGGGAACTATAGACCAGTTAGGCTCACCTCTGTCCCTGGAAAAATCATGGAGCAGATCCTCAAGGAATCCACTTGTAAGCACTTGGAGGAGAAAAGGGTGATTAGAAACAGTCAGCATGGATTCACCAAGGGCAAGTTATGCCTGACCAACCTGAATGCCTTCTATGATGAGGTGACTGGCTCTGTGGATGCGGGGAGAGCAGTGGATGTGATATGCCTTGACTTTAGTAGGCTTTTGATATGGTCTCCCACAACATTCTCATAAGCAAGCTAAGTAAGTATGGGTTGAATGAATGGACTATAAGGTAGATAAAAACATGGCTGGATTGTTGGGTTCAAAGGATAGTAATGAATGGCTCCATGTCTAGTTGACAGTGTGTATTAAGCAGAGTGCCCCAGGGGTTGGGCCTGGGGCCAGTTTTGTTCAACATTTTCATCAATGATCTGGAAAACAGGATGGAGTGCACCCTCAGCAAATTCATGGATGACACCAAACCGGGGAGCGGGAGGTAGTAGATATGCTGGAGGGTAGGGGTAGGATTCAGAGAGTTCTAGACAAACTGGAGGATTAATCTAGAAACCTCATGAGGTTCAATAAAGTAGAAGTGCAGAGTCCTGCATTTAGGAGAGAACAATCCCATGCACCAGTACAGGCTGGGGAGTGACTGGCTAAGCAGCAGTTCTGCAGAAGAGGACCTGGGGGTTATAGTGGATAATAGGCTCAATATGAGCCAAGAGTATGCCTTTGTTGCGAAGAAGGCTAACAGCATACTGGACTGCACTGGTAATTGCCAGCATATCAAGGGATTATTCTCTTCTATTCAGCACTGTTGAAGCCACATCTGGAGTACTATGCCCAGTTTTGGAACCCCCACTACAGAAAGGATGTAGACAAATTGGAGATAGTCCAGTTTGGGGCAGCAAAATGGTTAGTAGGCTGGGAAACATGACTTATGAAGAAAGGCTGAGGGAAGTGGGGTTTTATAGTCTGGCGAAGAGAAGACTGAGAGGAGGATTTAATAGCAGCCTACAACTACCTGGAGGATGGTACCAAAGAGGAGGGAGCTAGGCTGTTCTCAGCTGTGACAGATGACAGAACAAGCAGCAATGGTGTCAAGTTGCAGCAAGGAAAGTTTAGGTTAGATATTAAGAAAAAACTTTCTCCTAAGGAGGGTAGTAAAATAATGGAACAGGTTACCCAGAGAAGTTGTGGAATCTCCATCCTTGGAGGTTTTTAAAATCTGAGTAGACAAAGCCTTGGCTGGGATGATCTAGTTGAGGACAGCCCTGCTTTGAGTGGGGGGGGGAAGCTAGATGACTTCCTGAGGTCCCTTCCAACCCTAAGTTTCTGATTCTATGATTGCTTTAGATCCAGCCTGTTGTCATTTTTTCTTTTGTGTTACAAGTAGCTCATGGCACCTTAAATGTCCTAGGACTTCTTAGATTGAGCCATAATCTGGTTTGTATGTTCCATGTCTGGTTATCCCTACGTTGTCA